TTCAGCTGGAGCTTCCTCTGCTTCAGTTTGTGCCCGTTGCCCCTTGTCCTGTCGCTGGGCACCACTGGAAAGAGTCTGGCCCCGTCCTCCTGACCCCCACCCTGCAGATATTTAGAGGCATTTCGAAGGTCCCCTCGCAGCCTTCTCTTCTCCAGGCTGAACAAGCCCAGCTCCTTCAGCCTCTCCTCGTAGCAGAGATGCTCCAGTCCCCTCCTCATCCTCGCAGCCCTGCGCTGGGCTCTCTCCAGTAGCTCCTCATCTTTCATCACAAAAAGTCGTTGGAGCGCAGAGCTGCAGTGACCCGGGTTGGGTTTGTCTTCACTTGTGGAGGTCGGAGATGGCGCGGGGAGGCACATGGTGCCCTGCAGGACGTTCATTTTGCCAATGTCCGGTTCGTCAGGCCCGGGAGCAGGCTGCGGGCCCTGTGCCGTGCCCCGCTGCGGCAGTGACTCAGTGCTAGGTGCTGCTGATATGAAGGGGCCGTCTGGGTTCCTCCCAGCTCCTCGCACAAGTCAAACTGAAAGACAGCGTCGCGGCGTTGGCTGCTCTGGGGCACGGTGAGAAACGAAAGCAGGGCTGTGCATCACTGCGGCCAGGGCGTGAGGGGAACTGAGACCACAGTTACGATCACAAAGTTCCCGAGTAAATACCCGGTGCTGCTTTCCTTGGGTGTCTGGGGCCGTGCCCTGTGCCTCTGTCGCAGCCTTTTCGCCCGGTCGGAGCCGGGGCCCGGCTGGGTCCTCTGCCTTCGGCGCTGGGAGAGCAGCGCTGTCTGCTCCGGGGAAGGTGCAGTGGGGGGCAATCTGCTCCCAAAGGCGCATCGTGGTTCGTGTCTCCCACAGCTTAGTTTTGTTCGTTGTTTCCTGTTTATGTGGGTAATCGTCTTATCCACAGAAATGTCCAGTCCTCTGTTTGAATCCCCGAGTCCTTGCTTCCAGGCATTTGGGAGCAGTAAGTTCCACAGGCTTTTTTTTTATATATAAAAAAAAAATAGTAATAGCCTTTTTATTTCTTTGCATACACGTGGTGGTTCTGTTCTTCAGACTGGATGTTGAAGGATGAGTTGTTATTTATTTTATTGCCTTTTGACTTCACTCATTTTCTTTCAAAGGCAAGCAATCCAAATCTTTTTAGTGTCTCTACCCGTCATTTTTTTCCACATCCTTTACCGTTATTGCTGTCCTTTTCTGAATCCTGTCCTTCTCTGACAAGAATTGTGACTCTTACCTGCGGAACCCTCCTTGAGGGGGAATGGAGATGAAATGAATGCGGTAATCCAAGGAAGGCACACAACCAAATTATACAGTTGTACAGTAATAGTTTTATTGCCAGAAAAATACTGGTTGCTTTGTAGCGAGGTGGGAAGGTATCTGGCGGGGAGAACGTTTTCCATCGCTACAGCTCGCTAGGCAGCGTGCGGGTGGGAAGCCGGTGTGTGGCCAAATTCTGCTGCTTTTTTCTCTCCTTCATGTTTGTATTTCAGTTCGTTAGGGACCAGATTAAGATAACCTTTTTGTGATGTTTACCATGATTGAATCTTGAGGTAGCCTGAAATTTTCAGCGCGTGTCTTCTGCAGATGAGTGAGGGTTTAAGAGGTGTTGCTGGATCCGAACCGCAGCTGGTGGAGCAGTTCTGTGAACGGAGGAGCAAATTCTGTAATGACACGTGTTCTTTCTGTCTTTTCAGGTGCTGGAAAATTACTCTGATGCTCCTATGACCCCAAAACAGATTCTGCAGGTCATAGAGGCTGAAGGACTAAAGGAAATGAGGTTAGTATTGATGATCTTGGCTCAAACGTAGCGAGGAGCATGGGGGAGGCTGTGTACGAAGGCTTGTGTTGCTCCGTGCAATTCTGCCTCAGCTCCAGCCCACTTTTCTCCTTCCAGCATGGTAATTGCAGGTGACAGTATAGACGTTAAGATACAGGTGGTTTTTTTTCCTTTGACAATACCTGGAAGCTGTTCTTGGATTTTTTTGATAACATACGGAGTCCCCTTCGTCCACCTGTTGGAAGATAAATGCCTCGTGCAGATCAGACTCCTGCCTTGTCTTGTGCTTAGCTGCTTACTCGTGTGGGTCTCTCCTGAGTAGCTCCCCGTAGTTTCTGCTATTGTGTCTCTGTAGTTTGAGAACACCTTACATTTTGTCTCCTCTGATGCTTCCTTTCTAGAGCAGACGTGTTTTAGGAGACTCAAAAAAAGTCTTCTTTATATGACTATAGTGGCTTCTGCTCAGACTTTCGAGCCCCGTGATAGCACAGCTCGCACTGCTGGGGCTTTTGACGTCGTACGGGGGAGATGCCCATCTCAGCCTGGGTTTCACATGGAAGAGAACCTGGTGTGGAGCCTGAGGAGCGGCAGGAGCGGGAGACAGGTTTTCTTGGTTAAGTTCCTGGAACGTCCATGTGTTTCTGTGACCGTAGTAGAAGAGAAATACAGAGGGTCTTGCAGGTCAAAGAAAGTAGGTAACCGTGATAGTCCAGATGCCTCGGTTCGTGCTGCATGGCAAGAAGAAGGAAGTTTGCCTGCCAGGGACAGAAGCAGCAGGGCTTTGGGGTGCTGCCCGTTGGCTGCTGGGGAATCCAGATGCGTGGGCCGTTTCTAGTCTTGCTGCTCCCTCACCTTGACGCTGTGGACTGTGTTCCACCATGGCGTTTGCCTTCCCTGAACCTCTGCTTTACCCAGCCACAGAAGGTAAACCAGTTTCTTCTGGGACTCGGCAACTCAAAATGTTAGCTTGTTCCTGCCCCTGATTTGTGTCTGAAACAAGGCAACAACTGGGGTGGTCTCAATAGTGGAAGCGGTGATGCATACGGAGGTGCTGTGTTTGGAGAGGGACGGTCCTGGCGCGTGTTGCTGCATCGATATCGGGGCTGTCGAACGCCCACCTGCCGCTGGCGACCCTTGGGGAGGAGATCTGCGCTGGTGTGGGTACGGGCGGTGGTGTCACTGCTCGGGGTCGAGCTCAGACAGGCCTTTAATCACAGAATCACAGAATAGTAGGGGTTGGCAGGGACCTCTGTGGGTCATCTAGTCCAACCTTCATATAGCTTTGTGTGATCAGTACTCTGCACCTTTCTTACATCAGTCCTGTCACTTGAGCAGGCAGTGGAAGATCTGCGTGCTTAGGCTGTGCCCTGCTAAAGGTCCCAGCAGGTCGCTTTTCACACACGTAAATTCTCTTGGTGCTCTCCCAGTTTTGACGAGTGGCCTCTCACAGACCAGACTTTGGAGCTTGTGTCAAGTTAAACCCCAGAGAGGTTGCTTCAGAGGTGGGTGTTCTTCCCTCGTGATATCTGCTTTCCCTTCCCTGGCCATAAATGCACCGCTTTAAGAGAAGACTCTTTTCTTCGGGGCGTAGTTGCTCACAGAATGAAGGCAGTGATCCTGCCTAGCTGACTGCGCCGCGGGCTTCGCTGGTGTTTGTGTAGCAGCCCTTCCTGAAACTCCGTTTCCTGAAGGAAACGGCTCGGTGTCTCGGGACCTTTCTGCCTTTGAATCGACGCTGAGCCGGCGTTCCCCGGTGCGGGGTTCTCTCTGCGTGGCTGGGAGGGCCGTGTGACGGGTGGCAGTTATGGTCCGGCGTGGCTGGGGCTGGGGCCCAGCACTGTTGCTGAGCTCTAGCTCCTGGGGGAGTTTTAATGGTTTGGTTTTTCCTGAATTTGGGGAAAACGATTTATTTTGCCATTCTGAGCAAGCACGCTCTGCGGCTGGTTAGCGTGCTCGAAGTGTCTCAAACACAGAAGGGAAAACACCGTCTCACAGGGCAGAAGGCTGGAAATTTTTTTGGTAGCATCTAGAAGTGATACAGGGGAATTCTGTTGCCAAGGCTTATGAAGAACCGTCCAAAAAAACAAACACATTCGGGATGGAAACAGAAAATGTTCTAAGTTTTCAATCTGAGAATGACTTTCTTTGAAATATTTTGTCTCAATCCAGTTTTCAGTTTCGCTTTTAATAATAATGAAATCGATACTGCTTTAATGTCTCTTCCAAGTAACTTTCTGCCTGTACATGTGTGACGTGTCGGAAAACGCGAGATTACGTGGCCCAGAAGTTCCCCTCGGTGTGAGCGTGGGATGGTGGCTTTCACCGGGGAGTTACGTGGGACGCGACAGAGCAGCACCTCAGACCTTTTGGATCTAACTGTGCTGGAGCGGTTTTGTCTGCGACAGGTCAGGGAGGGCGTGCCAGAAACACGCACGTGTGCAGTTTGTGCTGGTTTTGTTTACATCTTTCTACTGCTGAGTAAATCAGGGAGGGTTGTAAAATCAGTCCGACTCTGAGAGTTTCAAGCAGAGAGAGGGAGGAAGCAGGTAATGAAAATCAGAAGCATCTCAAAATGGCTGAGAGTAACTGGGCATCACGTTTCCTGTTCGCTGCCGCGCTGCCGTGTGGTGAGGCTGATGCGGAGGTCACGGAGGGAAGCGGTAATGCTGCTCTGGCTGAAGTGCCCGTCCCGTGAGGCTGCTGAGCGTCACCTCCGTTCCCCTCGGGCAGCTGTGCCGTGCCCGTTCAAACAGACCTTTCAGGCTGTTCTCTCGATGAGGCCGTTTCCTAAAACTGACGGTGTTCCGCCTCTGTTTCAGTGGCACTTCTCCGCTGGCCTGCCTCAACGCCATGCTCCACTCCAACTCCAGGGGAGGTGACGGGCTCTTCTATAAGCTGCCTGGACGCATCAGCCTGTTCACGCTCAAGGTAAGTGCCGAGGGCCGAGGTGCGGGTTCTGCGCGTTACGCGTAGCTGCGTGTTGAGCTGTCGCCGAGCATCAGATGAGCGGAGTGTGCTGCGTGTGAGACGGTCATGTGAAGGAGTGTCTGGAATTCATTATTTTGTTAGAGCTTGTACCTTTCAGCTATCTTCAGTCATATATGAAAAATTCCTTTTAAAAAACCCTGTTATTTCTTGCATTGCACAAGCAAGGTCAATCCTCTTATTCCACTACCTGGTGTCCGACTCAGGTGGCTGCTTACCGACACAGTGCCATTCACTCCTTTCTGCCAGCCAGGAGGGAACACAGCCAACCAAAACACTAAATTGGTCCAACAGCGTGTAGCTACAAGTAAAATCTTGATAAGAAAATGTATATTCACCCTTCTGCTTGGTGGTTTTGTGTTCTGTGTGTTCTGTGTATATTTAGCATCACCGTTTTCCTTAGATCTTGAGATCTCTCTGGAACGTTTTTTATTTTTAGTTTATTGTCCCAGAAATCTTAAATGTTGAAAATGTTTCTGGTCTTAGGCTTTTCTTTTGCATTGTTTTATACTGTTGGATTCCCTGATAAGTATCAGCTTGGTAGACAACAGATATCTCGGCTATTTCACTTGATTCTTTTTTTCAGCTGGTAGGAAATTTTGTTGAGTTGCCGTATTTTGCTGGAAAATAGGTGGCGTTGAAATGGCTTTGATTATACAAGTAGTAAATACATCTCCTAAGCTTACTGTCTTAGTAGTTGGCTGCTCTGATGCTACCTGTTCTTTCATGGGAGGAGTGAGATACTTCTATTTCAGAGAAACTGCTGGCTTTCAGAAAATGGCGACAAATCATCTTAGTAGTTGGCTGCTCTGATGCTACCTATTCTTTCATGGGAGGAGTGAGATACTTCTTTTTTAGAGAAACTGCTGGCTTGCAGAAAATGGCGACAAATCGTTAACCGTGCCTATTTTGGGTGCGTTTGAGTTACTCGTCTAGGAGGTGTCTATGAAGTGCGCTAGCAGTTTAGATGACTTCTGTTCCACTATGAGCCCAAATATACCTGAAAATACCTTTCTGCATCAAGGATTACAATAAGGAAGATGCAAAAAACTAAGCCTAAAAACTATACCCACTGAACGGTCTGTTCCGGTGGATGAAGTGGTGGCGGGGGGGAGGGAGGACTGTGGCCACCCCGGTTCTGTTTGCCCGTGTAGAAGGATGCCCTGCAGTGGTCTCGGAATCTGTCGGTGCCAGAAGGGGAGGAGCTGGAGGATACAGCAGACGCAGAAAGTTGCGAGTCCAATGAAGCAAGCACTGTGAGTGGTGATAACGATGGTAAGTGTCTAATGACGTTAATCCTAAACTACGGGATCTGCTCCGGCGCCTGACTGAGTGCCCATCTCTTTCAGTGTCTCTGGATGAAACCTCATCCAACGCCTCCTGTTCCACCGAGTCTCAGAGCAAGGGACCCGCTGCTACGCGGGACAGCTACAGAACCGCCTCCCAGGTAGGAAAAAGAGGGGCTGCTGGGAAGCACGGAGCCTCTCAAGGGGAGCTTTCCTCACGGCGTGACAGCCGGGCGAGCATGGCAGGGACTAGTTGTGCACAGGTGCCTCGGAGCTACGGGGCTGTCTCCTGAGGTGGGGAGCTCACGGGGTGGGGAGCGATCACCTACAGGAAGGTCATTTTGAATTCCCTGCCAGTCGTGAGTAATTAAATTATTATGTATAAGGACACCTGAAGATCTGCCGAGGAGCCAGGTAATTCTTTAACTGGGAAACGTGCTGCTTAGAAGATTGTTTTACCCCTCCCTAATGTCTGTGTTTCTTTCTTCTGTTTTTGGTTTCTTGCTGGACCGCAGACAACCAAACAAAAGAAAAAGACCGGGGTAATGCTGCCACGTGTTGTCTTAACACCGCTGAAAGTAAACGGGGCCCACATGGAGTCTGCCTCTGGTGAGCACTGCTTTTGTTGTGGGGGTTTCCTAGTGACTGCACGGACAGCTCTTCGTCAGTCGTCCCTCGTTATCTGTAAGTTTGCCCGAGGATTTCTTTAATGCTTGGTGAGAATGGATGCCATCGAGCTGTGCGTGTGTTTATCTCCATCAAAAGAGTTGGTATCTGGGCAATACCCTGTAACAGTGGATCTGTTATTAGCAGACGCTTCTTTTATGCTAAAACCACTCTCCAAGTTGGGCTTCTGCTCTTCTTTGCATATTTTTAAGAAATCATTTTGTTTTTAGGCTTCACAGGAAGGCATGCCGATGGGGAGAGCAGCAGCACATCCAGCAGCAGCAGCAGCTCTTTGGCTCTGTGCAAAGCCACCTTGCGTAGCAGAACAGAAATAAACAGGGATCCTCCGCAGCTTCTGAGAGGTATCCGAAAGCCCCCAGCTGGTAGGTGCTTGCGATGAAAGGGGGAAGAATAATTGACCGTAAAAGCGGGCCGTGTTGAAGTCCGGCTGTATCTGAGGTTCTCTCCCTGCAGAAGGCATGTGACGGTCTCACGGCTTGCGAGCCAGACGTTGTCCCCTGAACATTAGTGAGACAGTTGTCTAAAAGTTTGTCTGCTCTGAAGAGCAGCGTTGAGAATTGTACCTGAATGTGACAGAAATGTGACCTCATGTCACAATTCCAGATACATGTCTATGAATTAGCGTGTTTGAGAGAGTCTTTCTTCAGACTTCAGTACTACCGTCTTTCCTCCTCTATCCTGTGCAGCCTGCTGTAGGTGACCCTGCTTCGGCAGGAGGGTTGGACTAGATGACCCACAGAGGTCCCTTCCAACCCCTACTATTCTGTGATTCTGTGATCTTGCTCCTTTCGCTGTGGTGGCTTGACATGAATTTCTTGCCCATAATGCTGAAATAATTTTGTACAAAACCGTTTGTTTTATTTGTCTGTCCTTAAACTACAGGGCAAATGAAACGAAACCGGGGTGAGGATATTGACTTTGAAACACCGGGCTCCATCCTTGTCAATACAAACCTGCGAGCTCTGATCAACTCCAGAACCTTCAATGCACTCCCGTCGCATTTCCAGCAGCAGCTTCTCTACCTCCTTCCAGAAGTCGACCGACAGGTACGAGGGTGCAGCGCTGGGGTCTTTCCCCTTCACTGCGCTGCCTCTTGCCCGCGGAACGGCTGGAGCAAGCGTTTTCTGTTTGTCCGTCAGGTTGGGGCTGACGGGCTGATGCGTCTCAGTGGCAGTGCTCTGAATAACGAATTCTTCACCCACGCTGCTCAGAGCTGGAGAGAACGCCTAGCTGATGGTGAGTTGTTCCCTTTCCTAGGTGGCTGGAGAATAGGTATTCATTTTATGGGCTTTTGTTTGTTTTTCTTTTACAGTTAATGGGAATTTAGACCAGCTTTGCTGGGACTCTGGCTGTGTTGCCCCAGACTTTTCTTCTTTCTTACATTTTTTGTGTTTAAAATCAAAGACGTGTTTTCCTTTGGTGCCGTGGGACCTTCAGAACAAAGTGGTGGAAGTGTCAAGGAGTGCTAGACTCATCTTGCCTTCGGTGGTGGCCTCTGTCTGGGAAACACAATTTTTTTCAGGCTTGCTTGAGACTGTGCAGCCACTGCCCCTGTGGAGTTGCAGGCAGCATGTGGATCCGTGGTAGGCTGGAGAGCAGGGCGATGCCAGAAAATCTGTCCTTTGTATATTTAGCTACTATACTGTTAAAACACAGAAGGTTGCATTTGCAGAATCGGTTTTGTTTGGAACTGAATTTCAGTCTCTTGCTTCCATGTAGGTGAATTCACCCATGAGATGCAAGTTCGAATTCGGCAGGAGATGGAAAAGGAAAAGAGAGTGGAGCAATGGAAAGAGAAGTTCTTTGAGGACTACTATGGACAAAAGTGAGAAGTTTCACCTAGTCTGTCCGGTTGTATCTGTGTTTGTGCAGGTGGCAGAGTGTGTTTCTGCGTGCAGATACCCGAGAAGATTCAGCAGAAATGGAGGTTGTGGGTGAATCACTCCAGCTGTTCCTCCAGGGCAGTCCCTAGTGGAATTGGCTGGGTCACAGCCGAATTTTGTAGCCCATCTATTTTGTTTCCAAGACAAGTTAATATTCCTCGTTTTCCATCACAAATCTTCACATCTTATTTTTCCTCATTCTCTGTGGTAGTAATGTGGGATAGCAAATGTGTAGGTTGTCTCGTGGCCGACTGACTTCGTGAGGGTGCGATGAGTCTCTGCCTTGTAACTGGTGTGTTACTGTGTGTGGCGGTGGCAGTACAGCTATAAGTAAAAGATGAAATGCTTAAATTAGGATGGGCTTTAGCTTTTAGCTAGTTTTTGTGTTTGCTTCATAGGTTGGGCTTGACCCAAGAAGAATCCCAGGAGCAGAATTTGGTGCAAGAAGACGCTGAGAACAGGACAGGACTGACTGTTAAAGGAGAAGGCAGACTGCCGCGCGGTCCTTCCACCCGGCAGAGAGATGGGCACTTCAAGAAACGCTCCCGGGCCGACCTGCGATGCAGAGCCAGGAGGAGCCTGTACAAACTGCGTGAACCTGAGCAAACGGAGACTTCCAAAGAGACCGCTGCTGCGGGACCAGACTCCTCTCTGCAGAAAGAGACAAAGCCTGAGACAGACCTGAAGAAGGATGATCTGACGAGCCCTTCGGCTGCAGCACTGAAGCCAGAGAGCTCAGAACTGCACCTCTCTCCAGAGACTTCCAGATTACACACTAAATCGGAAGATCTGTCGTTGGCAGCTGCAAACAGAATTCCCAGTTTGCCCCAGGAGAACTCTGCTCGGGAGTCCAAGGACCAGAAGAGGAAGCGCTTTGAGGAGGCTGCCTCTGCATCCTTCCCCGAAAAGAAGCCCCGGCTTGAAGATCGTCAGTCCTTTCGTAACACAATTGAAAGTGTTCACCCAGAAAAGCCACAGCCTACTAAAGAGGAGCCAAAAGTCCCACCCATCCGGGTAGGAAAGAGAATTATAGCTGCTTGGTGTCTCAGGGCTGTCATGCTCAGTAGCATCAAAACACGATTAAAATGTCAAGTGTTGTCATCTGAAGGAGTGGACGGGTTTCACTGGCAGAGCTGGCTGAGTACCTCTGATTACCACAGTTTACTATCTTATTTAGACAGGCAAAGAATGGAAAATCATTCCAAGGTCTTTGCGCAGCGCACAGCGTAACCTTGACTTACTCTGTTAGTTTGCATTTCTGTGGATACAGAAATTGCTTTCCTGAAACTCAGCGGCTTGCTGGCTGACTTCCCCCGTCTTGACTAGAGGTATCCGTGGTGTTAGCTTCAGGGTAGGCATCCTGACGTAGCGGAGACCGATTTGGTTTCTGAAGATCGGAATGCAAATCACTCATTCCGTATTTGTCTGCTGGCTCTGGTAAGATGATGCTAATGCGAACTGAGCTTTGCATCGCACGTGACAGAGCACATACGCAGGGGTTACCAGGAGCACGCTGCCTCTCTGTCAAAATTCATTTTTCAGTTGGAATTTCAAATTTTTGCTGAATTGTTGTGATAAGAACTGTGATGAACAGATGCTAATAAAATGCATTTCACTGAAAACGGTGAAGTGCTAGAACTAATTGCTTTTCTCTTTCTTTCAGATTCAACTTTCACGTATTAAACCACCCTGGGTGGTTAAAGGTCAGCCCGCTTACCAGATATGCCCCAGGATCATCCCCAACACGGAGCCCTCCAGCCGGGGCAGGACTGGGGCCCACACCCT